CATCTCACGTTTGACTTCTACGCGTGAGGTCGGAACCAAAGAGACGGCCCAGGGCGCTCACTACTCGAAAAGGAAAGCGAGAATTTAGGTTGGTTATATTGCCTTGCAAAGTGTTCGGACAAACGCTCTATGCGTGGTGCGCAATTCCTGTAGTATTACTTTGCTAACGAGCGTGCATCATAAGATGCGATAATACAGTAGAACGTCCTAAGTTGACAACCTCTGTATGTAGACCACTTATATAAGTTCACCGATTTTTCATGTATCGAACATTCACCATGCAAATCTTATGGAACCTGGCTTCTGTATGTTGACCACACTTGTAAGTTATATGTCGGTCGCTTGGACCATAACCGTCACCACTAATTTAATCTCTACAACTTGAGCAACTGAAGGTTTGCAGTACAATGGTCGCTGATCGTTTGTCCAAGCAACAAACTGTGTGTAGCGGGATTTTGTAATGAGCCATATTCTTCTGATTCGCAATAACTGCTTCGCAGATGTTGAACGATACAGCATGTTCTCTGGCTGTGTGTGTGCGCACCTGCTTCTGTCCGCCTCCCCAAGTTTTTTACGCGCATCGGTACTTACCTAGTACAATGCGTCCACACTGCTCCGCATCCACAAATTCATCTTGAGTGCTTTTTATGTGAAATCTTTCCACACACGAGTAGGCATCAAGCCTACTTGGGAACATATGCCCACACACTTTACAGGTCACAATCAGCAGTTTGAGGGCTCAGGCATCACTACGGAAAGGTGGACTGGAACGACAACTTTCCAACCCGAATGCCGTATTCGGCTGAGCCATTCGTGACTCTTCCACTTCAAGGTTACATCAGTTAGTTAATTTGCCCCTCGTCGTAGGTGGTGCAATTGTGACGGGTAAGGCCTCGGTACAGGAGGAATGAAAGACTCAGCTACTTATTACCATTGACGGATCCACTCTATATGGGACTCCAACGCATCCAACGACTCACCCATGGCTTCGACAACCTGCACGCGTCTTACCGCGCCTAATTATCAGAGCAATTCAAATATGCGCAGGCGTCCTCACTACAAAAGTCAGACGCGCCAGTGGCAGACCACCGCGTTCTCCATCCGATCTCAATTGCTGCGGTCCATGTGGGCAACACGGGTGAATATCACATGTGCTACAGTTTTGCATTGTAACCCATCATGCACACTGCAAACGACACAATGACATTGCCAACCAGGTTGCAACTATTCTACGCCGTTCTAGAGCTACAGTCATTCCAGAAACACGCATCTTCATGCCAACGACCTACAGCAAGCCAGATTTTCTCATCAACCGGGACACCACTATCTATGTGACGGATATTACTATCTGTGACTCACACCGGATGGTCCAATCTTACCAAAACATAATTGATATATACGGCGTCGGTGATCACGTAACAGTCATCAGAAACTGCTCACAAACTGCACTCCCGGCAATCGCCCTTATTGTACACTATCCCGCGTCAGCAAAACACCTGTTGTCATTGGGACTCTCGAGTTTGCATATTTCCGATCTGTGCATCTCCACCATCCAGGGAACCATTAGTGCGCATGCTGTTTATATGTGAGGTTTAGCTCACCAAGCAAAATCATTAAACTAACAAAAACCGAATGGTACTGGGCGTACGGTTCCTGCTCGAGTTCCACGAGCTTCCATTCAGCGATTGTCGTAATATTAAGCTGGGGCATTCGTCCCACTTTGACAAATTTCTATGCTGGTCATTTCTCGAGGCATACATTCCTTTGCCGAAAATACATGTTTATCAATTAACCAATTCTAAGCTAACCCGTTCAACACCTGTTTATTAGGTTCTTGGATGGGAGTAACATTAACTTTCACCTCCACTAATCGTAAAATGCTATTCCACGCTATTTGGTATCTGTCTGAGAGTGCAAACAATTAAGGTTTGTGACTGAATGTAATTGGCTCTCTGTAAATAACACACAAGATCTTGGATCCACTTCGTGTTTTGAGCAATTCGGAATCGGCTATAACGCCTATCGAAGCATTATGGCCCAAAGGAAAGACCTCAAAGCGTTACCGCTGAAAGAGAAGATTAACCTGCTACATTTTCTGGAAAGCAGCAGCCAAGGAAGCACGGTAGGCGGTGTTAGCAAGACAAAAGTTAGGAACATCCAACGACACGACCATGAGTATTTGGTGAGATACAATAATTAAAAAATGGTAATTTGTCAGCTGTACACCGTAACGGTGCTTCGCTGCCAGCGTGACCACCACCAGTCGCGCGCGGGCTGAGTATACCGCGAGGACGCCCACCCCTACGCGGATTCGAACCGGTGACCTCATGGTTGCAAAGCAAACGTGCAGACCACTCGGCCACCGGCCGACGAGATACAATAATGAAAGAGAAGATCTACAGCAGAGGAGGCGGAAAACTTCACACGATGAAGTCAGTGAAGCTACGCTGCTCTGGCTCATACAACTGGGAACAGTTAATGCTCGAATCTCCGGCCGATGATTCACACAATTGCTAAAAAGTTTTCAGGAGAATTTGGCGTTGCACATTTTCAAGCATCCAATGGTTATTTCGTGTAATTTAAAATGTGACACCACATTTAGCAAAGAGTTTTATGTGCTGAATTCAGTGCATTACCTGAAAAGTTTGTTCAAGAATTTACCACTAAATTTCCCATCTTCAGCATGGGTTTCAGTAATGATGACATTGTTAACGCTGACGAGTGCGATCTCTTTTATAAAACGATGCCTGTCAGGAGCCTTGTTATAAAGTGTGGCAAATGTAAGAGTGGAAAGCATTCCAAAGAACTGTTTACACTTATGCTGTGCGCTAGCTCAAATGGAGAGTGAAGCTAAAATAGTTGGTCGTTGGTAAGTCAGTTAGAATATGTGTGTTAAAAAATCTGAGTCTTGCAGACCTTCCAGTCACTTGGAGATCCAGCAAATCTGCATGGACGACTGCTGCCATATTTGACGAGTGGAAAACCGACCGAAAACTGATGAAGCAAAAACGATTCATTCTACTGACAGTGGATAAGTGTCCCAGTCATACCCATGTCGATTACCCCATGAACATTGCACGAACATTTCTTCATCGAATAATGATCTCAAAAATTCACCCTCTGGACCAAGGAATTAGCGAAATACTCAGAACGCAGTACTGAGCTCAGCTCATGTAATGGGTTATAGCAAAAAGGAAACCCAGGGGGGCAAGCACTTCATCTACTGCTTCAGTTGATGTTGTTTTTGACAAGTTCCGTTTGGCACAAAGTTTAGCCAGTAACAATACGGAAGCAGTTTGCGAAAGCTGGATTTGTTCAAACTCTCAAACAATACGCTGTTGGGTTAATAGACATGTCATCCCCCATTACAGATTTTTAGGAAATAGATTTTCAAGCTTTTGTTAAAATGGATGATGATTTGACAATCTGCACTGAACCAGATCCAGATGGCATTTTCAAAGAGATAATGACTGGTACACTCCTACGGGAACAAACCAGAGGCGCCTGATGATGAACAAGACCTAAGTGAAGATGACAGGAACTCCAAAAGCGACTGATGTCTGGCATCTTTTAATGCATTTAAATTCAGGGGCTGTGGAAAAATGTCCGAGCATGCTGAGTAATCTAGCTTGTGCTTAAAGCGCAGCTTTCAGTTACCTTTATGACAAGAGAAAGAAACAGACAAAATTGACTTTTTCTTCAAAAAATGATTCAAATTACAAAGTGCACGCTTGTTTTTTTATTTCTTATAAACACTATGTTTGAACTGTTTGTACCGTTACGGGGTTTTATGTGAAAATATAAGGTCATATTATGCTACTGACAACGGAAAAGTAGGTTACATTAAGTTTTGGCATGGAACCTCCCCACTTGGCCACCTCTGTGTTAAGCACTTTGGTCTAGTTCCTTAGGTGGTCAACTTACTGAGGTTCTACTGTACGTCTAACTTAAAAAGGAGGTTCTTCCGACGCGACTAACTAACGACCAGTAAGTTCCCTTCCAGTTCTCTCGAAAGGTATGGAAACTATGGAGGTCAATTGCTTCCA